AAAGAGCATCTAACAATTTTGAAAGTATTTCCTGATATATTTTTGGAGTCACTGTCTAGTCCTCCTACCTGAAACAATGTTTCTTTTTTGCAACTCTAGGACTTTTTAATCTGAGGAAGGAGCCTATCTAAGAAATGGGTTTTGCAGAATGAGACACATTAGATGTTCAATAATTCCCAGAGTTCATTGAAAGATCACTTCTTTCATAGGAGTATGAAGACTGGCCATCCCAATAAGGGACTTTGGTTTATCTGATATTTGTCTCATCTCAAGGTATTATGAGACCCCAAATTTAAAAACTTCAGTCCACTTACGTTAAAAATACTTGGCCATAACTCAAGAGCATTTGCCCTATTTTCTATTTATCTACAGTGCTTTGCACATAGCATGAACCATTCTGATTTGCAAGTAGGAAAGATCACCAGTACATCTCAAGATAGAGGACTGAGAAGCACTTGCTCAGTGCCACCTGTAGGTAGGCGGACTATATCGAAAACCATCTCCATTCTAAGGTGCTGCAGTTCATAAAGAAGATAAAAGAATAGTTTCTTACCCTTCTAGATTACTTTATGAAGAATCAGGGATAACTAATGAAAACAAAACAAAACAAGCCACTAAATCTCTTTCCCTCTGCATAGTAGAAATAGAACGTTAATCAATAAGAATGTAAAAGTAAAACCTTTTTTCTCCCTTTATGCAATTTTTTTCTCGCTGTGCACTCAGAGACTCTTCCATTTCCATGCTTTCTATACAACTGCTGTTATTTGTGAGAACAAAATTCTAAAAGAAACATGTCTTCTTAATGGACTTTATAGGGGCAGGGAAGGGGGGTTTCGGGTGGGGGACGAGAAGGGGGATCTGATCAACCCTTTCGAACCTCCGTTTTAAAACTTGTCATTTACAAACCATTGTCTTCAGGTGTTTCCATTCTTTTCTCCAGCTTTCTTTCTTGCCACTTGGCGCTTCAAACGCCAAGCTCCAGACAGTTCCCCGCCCAAGTGGCCTGATTCTGCTCGCCTGCAGCTCCCCCTCCGGGCTCCAGGGGGCGAGCGTCAGCCGCTCGCTCCGCTCGGCCTGGCCGGGCCCTGCTTGGACGCCAGGGCGACGCACGTCCTTCCGGAAGTGACGTAAGTTCCGAGTTCGCTGGGGGCGGTGAGAGCGATGAGGAAACTGAGACGGTGGGAGCAGTTGTGTGAAGATGGAGGTAAGAACCCGGACGCCAAGAAGGCTGGCGAGAGGCTGCAGGCGACGGGGCGGAAGCAGAGGCGAGAGGCCGGGAGGAGAGGCGGCTGACGGGGGAGGAGCGAGGCAGCCGGGTTGGAGGCGTGTTGTCAGAAGGTCGGGGTCAGAAGACGTCGCTTGGGGCTAACTCCTTGCTCCCCCTAACTTACTCCCGTGGCTTTCTTTTGGTCTCCAGTTTCCCGGAGGAAGTGACAATTACTTGACGATCACAGGACCCTCGCACCCCTTCCTGTCAGGGGCCGAGGTGAGCCGAGCCGCCGACGCTGCGGGGGAGGGCTGAGGCCGCGGCAGTGGCGGGGCGCGGGTGGCGGGGAGGAGCGCGCGGGCGCCCGGACGGGGCTGGGGACCTGGGGCCGCGATTGGTGCTGAGGTCGGTGGCAGCGGGTTTACCGCGCCTGCCCGGGGCGGGGCGGGGGACGGGGCCCGGTGAACTGCTGTCATCGGGGCAAACGAGCAGGACGGTGGACAGAGATCACCTGTGTAAGGAGGAGCGTCAGTAGGAGTCGGAAGCCTGTGGATGGGCTCATTTTGCTGGGGAGAAAGACTGCCAGCAATTTTGAGAGATCGACAATGTTTAGCTAAAGAAATTTGGCCAGGGGGTGGAGCTTACCTAGGAGGGGTGAAGTGTGGCTGTGCGTTAATTCTCGAAAGGAGCTCTTGTTGATGGGGTTTTTCGTAATTTAGGTTTCCACCTATAAAACGTTGATTGGTGTGCTCACATACTTGACGCCGGCTTGTTTTGCTACTGCAGGCTCGTGGCGAACCTTTAGCTCAGGCTGGAACCTTCCTTGCAGGTTTCCGGGACGAACTCTTTTCGGGGTAGAAAGCCCTGTGTTTCTCCCTTTGGTGAAAAGAAAGGAAATAGCTGTCAAAAGAATGCGAAGGGAATAACGTGGTTCTGCTTTCCTGTGACTCAGACTCTGGGCAGGTTGCTTTGTCTTTGTAGGTCAGGTTCCTCAGCTATCAAATAATTTTACGATATTTTGAAGTAATAATAATAGTTTACTATTACTACTAGTAAATAGGTTGTAGTAATAGATTATAATATTTTGAAGTAAAGATCATTTACTATTCGTGGGAAGGTTCTTGTTGAAATGGTGTCAGAATACAGATTTGCATCACATATACGTAGCACATAAGAGAAAAGTGGATTGTAAATTTTCCAATCTTTGAGAATGTGTGAATTCTAGAACCTTCTCTGGCCTTCCGAACATTTAATCTCTCTGCTCCCCAGACTAGTGTGAATTATTTGTATCAGTTTTAGTACCTGAATTCTCAATTGATTTTAACTAAGGTTTATCTTTTTTTAAAATTTTAATCAAGGCTTATCTTATTCTATAATAAACTCTGAAATTATCTCGGACAAGAGTTAGATTTACAAAGAGTAGTTTCTGGCTTTTTAAAATTGTAAATTGAGCAATGGTTTACATTACAGAGTAGATCATTCATTTTACATTCAATTATTCATACACATTTTGTTTCCTGCCATTCCTTGAAATCATCTACATGTAACATCACTTAAGCCATTCCTGTTCCCATTCCTCCTTTTGCCTTGACCCTTCTGAACTTTGTCCTTGGGCAAGTGCTGCCCTTTTGATATCAAATTGTTGATTATTCTAAGGTGTGCTTACCTTGCTAGTGTTATTGTTTCTCTTATATACCTGTGTTAGTCTGGGTTGACTAGAGAAACAAATCCAGAGACAATCGTGTATAAGAGAAAGCTTTATATCAAAGAGCAATTGTATATTGAGAAAACATCCCAGCCCAGTCAAAAATCACATCCATAAGGCCGTTATTAGCCCATATGTCCCATATTAGTCCATAAATTCCTCTTCACACTCACAACACATAGGATGATGCCGAATGCAGGAAGATCACAGGCCAATGGGTGGAAAGTCTTGTGGATCCAGTGGTGGTGGAAGCATCTACAGGGCTCTGGCTGCCATCAGCATGGTTCCATGTGGCTTGTCAACAGGAATGAGGAGAGAGAGATCCCAGAATTCTCATGAGAAGGTTACCACGCCCATAAGGAGGAATCATCAATCTAGACTCTACCCCTTCATTCTTTTATCAAGTTGACATGAAATTGTGTAACTATCACCATACCTTGGCTGAAATGTGAGCCATCGGGGGTGAGTTCAGTTCCAGATCTGAAGGGTGACTAAGGACCATAGTTCCAGGGGTTCCATCAGCTTCTGTCTGATAAGTAAGCCTGATCTCTGATTTTGAGTTTTGTTCCACCTTTTTCTCTGCCTGTCTCTCAAGGACCTTCTAACATAATCCCTTTCAGAGCAGTTGGTAGTGGTGGATGGACCATCTTAGCTCTCTAATCTCAGGCTTGTGGAGACTGATGTTTGCATTGTCCATTAGTCCACTTGAGTAATGGTTTCCACATGTCTCCAATCTGCATCACTCTTCTTCTCCCTGGCTGGGGAGAGATCAATAGTTGCACCATAGATGGCTATTCACAACTCAGTCTTTGCCTACCAAAGTTGGATGTAGAACATTGTCTTTCTGCACCTTGCCTTGCCAGTTGACCTTGGTGTCCCCAAGACTGTGGTCATGAGCCACCCCCCCCAGCCCCAGTTATTTATTCTCTCAAGATATTTGGCTATGTCTTAAGTTTTCCTAACTGCCCTGTGTAGTTGCTAGTTTTGAAACTTGTTTAATGCTATTATTATTTATTACCCCTAAACAGAAAACATAAACTAAATAAGCAGCCAGTTTAGAAATGATGTAAACTAAAACTCTTCTTTGGGGCTTTGAAGTCTGATTGTCAGTTTTCTGCATGAGGTCTCCACCATTTAAATTCATTATTTTGGACTATTATAGATTCCACATTGACCTAATCCATGTAAAAGTACATTCCAAAACTAAATATGATAGCTTTCAAATGTCCCTACTATTCTTAATCATCTACCCCTTTTATGAACTTGTGTGATCGAGAGGTAACAGCATAGAAATGGCTCCCTTTTATAGCATCAACAGTCTTCCAGTTTAAGTCTGATCTTTGTGTATTCATTTATGAATTGATGGAAAAACTCACACCCTGCTTTGTCAGGAAGCACTAAGCTTGGAACTCATTTCGGCAGCTGAGGACTTTTGTTGTTACGTTTTCATTTTTCAGGTCCCCGGGTATAGCACAATGTTTTGCTCTTGGCTGGTCATTCAAATGTTGGTGATTGAAACCTACCCAGCATCACCAGAGAAGAAAGGCCTGCAGTCTGCCTCTGTAAAGATGACAGCCAAGAAAAACCTATGAAGCAGTTCTGTTCTATAACATATGGGGCTTCCAAAGCAACAAACTAAAACCAAACCCAACAAGAGTTCTTCTTTTTCTCATGACAACTTCTACATTTTCTCCCCTTTAAAAAACTAAAAACAAAAAAACAAACCCTTTATTTTATGAGCTTGTGTTTTTTGTTGTATCTGATCTTCCTATGAACCACCCTAAATAAAATGTAGAAATTATACAAAGATACAATTTTTAAAATTCCTTTTTAGGGTTTTTTTTTTGCAAGATAAGGGTAGCTGTCTACAAGAAGCATTAGCCATAAAACACTGAAAAACTGAACTTCATTAAAATAAGAATCTCTGATTTGAAGGAAGTTAATTTTTTATTTTCTCTCATTCAGATTGGCTTTTACTCAGTGGTATTTATTTTGAGTACTTTGGGGATATAAGACATAAGACTCTTATGTCCCTCAGGAAAAGTACTTATAACAATTTTAAAAATTAAAAAAAATAAATAAAAGGATAACAAAACCAGTCGCCTTTGAGCAGATTCTGACCCTGGCAACCTTGTTTGGGTCAGGAGAACCGTGTTCCATTGGGCTTCCTGGGTGTTTTGTTAAGTGGGTCTTCAGGCCTTTCTTTCAAAGCACCGCTCTCTAGTGGACTTGAACTCCCAGCTTTTGGTTTTCAGCCAGAGGTGGTTGATTGCATAATGCTAGATGACTTCAGGCTAAGTAAACAGTCACTACTGTAAGTTTGTCATTGAATTGAGCTTTTCTATGATGAATAATCTATATGAGAAACTCTTTAAAGAAATGCTATACTGTGTATTTTGGTATCGAGGATTGAGAATGTGGTTATTTTCACTTGTTGGTTCTCTCAGTAACTAAGCATCTTTGCTTATAAACTGTCATTCCCAAACTGTTCCCTCTCTCAAAAAGGACAAAAAGACCCAAGAACTTAATAGAGAAGGAAAAGGAAGCTGAGTGAGATGGGTAACTACTCCATTTTTCTCTTTTCATCTCTGCCCCAAGCGCTTTATTATTTACTACAACTTTAGCTGTGTATTCAACAGTTTAGGGTATAAGCTAGTCACACAATAGATCCACTAACATAAAGGCATTCATTATTGGGTTTCTACCCATAATTTTATAATTTGTGGTGGTAAAAGAACTTTAGACTGTCTCCATGTTTTTTATAATGTGTAGTTTACTCTTTTGTACTTTCAATAATTGCAGTTGTTTTCTACTCATTTTTAAAAGAAGAAACAAATCAACCCTTTCTCAAAAATAAAACAATCAATAAAAAGCCCACCATTCCAGCCACAGATACTGAATAATAAGAACGCTGTTTCCACACCCCAGGAGAGAGTACGTAGAAAGAATGACTGGTTGAGCTGATACAGTGTGCCCTCTGCCCGTTTGGTTTTCAGTGTAGTCTAAGTGGGCATTCCCGAGGGTTTATGAAAGGTTCTCTCTCTAGAACCACGGCCTCTTGTTTTGGATATTAATTTCTTTCTTTTTTAGCTCTCAGTAGCAAATGGTATCATTTTTCATATCTAAGCCTTTTTGGTTTGTTGTGATAGGCAGAAAAGAATAGTAATTTTTTGCTTTGCTAAAGCAATCTATTTTTGTCAAGTGGAAAACTCCAATTATATCATTAATCTAGTCCAATAAATGGTTCCCTGGATCTGTTTTTCTTTCCCTATAACTATTTAAGTTTCTTTACATGAGGATTTGGTAAGCATCTTTGTACTTTTCACAAAATAATGCTCACATGATCCTAAACTTAACTTTTGGAAAGAGTCATAGACCTAAAGTTAAGAATTTTCACCAATAAGAAAAATTACAAATTGTGTACTGAGAAAGCTGGTGTGTGTGTGTGTGTGTGTGTGTGCGTAGCAGGGGAGGGGTGTTGTTCACATGGGCAGGGGTGCAGGTTTAGTCTTTCCCATCAAGAAATGCCCGTTCTTTCGATACAAATGATTGGGGTCAGAATGGAGACCCCAAACCCATCTGTAGACAATTGGACATCCCTCACAGAAAGGTCACAAGGAAAGAGCAAGACAGTGAGGGTGCAGCATAGCACTGACGGAACACAAAACATTCCTTTAGTGCTTTAAGATTTCCTCCTCCCCAGTGTCATGATCCCAGTTCTACCTTACAAATCCGGCTAGACCGGAGCATGTACAGTGGTACAGATAAAAACTCTTGTCACACGGAATCCAGGACAGACAAACCCCTCAGGAACAGTAATGGTAGCGATACCATGAGGGTAGGGGGAAGGTGGGGGGGGGGCGGGGGGAGAAATGGGGACTTAACTATAATGATCGATGTATAACCCACCCCCCACCCCCCAAGGGAGGTGAAAAACAGAAATGTGGGTGAAGGGAGACAGTGGACGGTGTAAGATATGAAAATAGAAATAATTTCTAATTTACCAAGGGTTCATAAGAGTGGGAGGGTAGGGGAGGGAGGGAAAAATAGGAGCTGATACCAAGGGCTCAAGCAGAAAGAAAATGTTTTGAAAATGATGATGGCAACACATGTACAAATGTGTTTGATACAATTGATGTATGGGTAGTTATAAGAGCTGTAAGAGCCCCCAGTAAAATGATTAATTAAAGAAATGCCTGTTCTTATGCTCCATATGTGCTCTTAACTTATATTTCCCACAGCTCTCAAATTTTCACGATACTAAGTACAACAGTAAGGATCTTGAAAAGAAAATGTGGGAAGGAAGATGTGTGCATTAAAAAAAAACAAATCCAGGGAATTTTTTTCTGTTTGCCAATGTGGTTCAGAGATGGGCATTTTTACAGACAAGCATTTTTCTCTTTAGTTTCTACCAGCTGGAAATACTTTTTAGTAATATATTTGTCTTCATGAAAACAAGAACCATATTAATGAGACCCTTTCTGGATACTTTGAGGAAACTTAAAGAATGCATTGTTTAATCATGAGGGGGAAAAATAGTTTAGGTGCCTATTTGATCTGATCACTTAATATTTACTATGTGTTTAATGTGTTGACAGAATTTAACTTCTAAATTCAGATTACTTGTGATAATTTGTTGGGAGCAGTTGACAAGTTAATGATAATTAGGATATTAATATTTTCATTAAGAACAATGGTGAATAATGGCTTATTTAAACATTTATATATGTGAGGTGCTGTGATAAGCCTTTGTGCACTAAATCTCTTGTCCTAATAATAACCATATGAAGGCTTTGCCATTATAATCCCAATTTTGTAGATAAGGAAAACCAGTCGAAGTCATATAATAAATGGCAAAGGTGGGACTACAACTCAGGTCTCTGACACCAAACTATCTTGATTTTTTTTTCTCTTCCTCTTATAATGCTCCATGTTTGCAGATGCCTCCCTTTTAGTATCAGAAAAGGAACTGTAGCAGTTGATGTGTTTTAGATCAGGCAGAATCTTTTAGCTATTAAAGATTTCAGAATAGAAAGCATGTGTTGTTACTGGTCTCGTTGGATTCGGAGGAGAAGGAACTATACCTTTAGCCAGCTGGAATAACCTTTTCTCTCCTCCCTTACAGAAAGCTTGGTCAGAGAAAGAGTAGGAATGTGTTCTGGACCTGTTGAACAACCAGTTTGCCGTTTGACTAGCTTTTGTGAAGGTTTTTCTTCTCACTATTACTATCTTGGCATTATTGAGTTTTCCAAAAGTCCTGTACAATGGGAGTCTTTTTATTTGTGGGTAACATCGTACTTGCTAAAATGGAGGGGAGATAGGAAACTCTACACTAAGTACAAATGTTTAGAGGCGAATCGGGTTCCAATGACAGATCTTCTTCAAAGGAACCTAAAATAGTAGTCACCATGTAATTGGCTGGTTGACAATGATTTTCTATTGTCTTACAATTCAGGTGTAATGATTGTGAAATAACTGCTATTCATTAGAATCTCTAGAGAGGTTTCAAGCGTTGTAGCTTAGACGTTATGTGGCTGGATTCTCACTACTGAAAGAATTGCTCATTAGAACAATAGGCATCATAATTTAGGACAACCAAGATGATAAGGTAGAAAGCAAATAAAGTGATTGAAATTTGTAATAGATGTTTCCAGCCTTGTATGTGCCACATGACCAAGAGTATGAGGAAGAAGAGAGTTTTACTTTTAGAACTAAGACCTGAGAAACTTCTAGAAACAGTAGGTTCTCACCTGAACAGAAGTACACAGACTCAGTACTCTGCTATGGTCTTCACTTAGCAGTGTGCCTCTTCTCACTAATTCTTTTCTCCTTTTTTTCCCTCCTGCAGACATTCCATACCCCAAGTTTGGGTGATGAGGAATTTGAAATTCCACCGATTTCCTTGGATTCTGATCCCACACTGGCTGTCTCAGATGTGGTTGGCCACTTTGATGACCTAGCAGACCCTTCCTCCTCACAGGATGGCAGCTTTTCAGCCCAGTATGGGGTCCAGACATTGGACATGCCCGTGGGCATGACCCATGGCTTGATGGAGCAGGGCGGGGGGCTCCTGAGTGGGGGCTTAAGCATGGTAAGGGGGAAAGCAGTATTATCAGGCTTATCCAAGCTCATGTGCATAGTGTTAATGGAGACAAAGTAATGCTATTCCCTGCTATCTGTGGATACTACTTGTTTCTAGTATTGGGACAAAAAGCCAACCAACAAAGACTTAATTTTCCCTGGGAAAAAATGAGATTCAAAAAAATTTTGCCAAATGCTTACTTTTAACCCTGAAGTGAACATGATTATGTTTTTTGGAGGAGGAAAAAAGCTCCCAGTTCCTCCTTTTTTACCAGGATGCACACAGGTTCAGTCTATATACATCTAGTTAAAGGTTTGTTTTTTCCCCTTCCCCTTCCTTTATGGGCTTTGTATTCTAGGATTCAGATCTAATTGTATTAACTGATACCTTGGTAGATATAAAGTTGTCAGTCAAATGTGTTGTGGATCAGTCTGTGCTCTAAATATGTGTGTTGGGCTGCCAGCACATCTCATCAGCAGAAGCAGCTTTATTCCCTATTTTGATGCCAAACACCTCTTACCATTTTTTTAAGTTAAAAACCATTTTATTTTCTTTTTAATTTTTTAAAAATTATTTTATTGGGGACTCGTACAATTCTCATCACAACCCATACATACATCCACTGTGTCAAGCACATACGTACATTCGCTGCCCTCATCATTCTCAAAACATTTGCCCTCCACCTCAGCCCTTAATATCGGTTGCTCATTTCCCCCCTCCCCTCCCACTCCCCCCTTAACTCTTAACATTTGCCTTATTCTGATAGCCTGTGTATTACCATTTTAAAAGCTATTATTTTGGGGAGGGCTCTGAGGGGAAGTTTTTCTTTACCCAGGTGTGGCCACAACCTCCTAATTACTGAATAATTTGTTCTTTAATTTGTCCAGAATTAAGACTGATTATTTGTTTACTTTGGAATAGGTGCTAATGCTCAATCTGTTTTGTGTGTAGTCAAGTTAACTTTTGTTTTGTAGGGTTTAAACAACGATTTAATTTGTGTAAGCAGGGTGTTTACAAACTGTCCTAAATCCAGGGGGGAAAGGATGCTCTTTTTTATATTCAGTGTTTAATTAGTCCTTCTTCTTCTCTCAGGACTTGGACCATTCAATAGGAACACAGTATAGTGCCAATCCACCTGTTACAATTGATGTACCAATGACAGACATGACATCTGGCTTGATGGGGCATAGCCAGCTGACTACCATTGATCAGTCAGAACTGAGTTCTCAGCTTGGCTTGAGCTTAGGGGGTGGCACCATCCTGCCACCTGCCCAGTCTCCTGAGGATCGTCTTTCAACCACCCCTTCACCTACTAGTTCACTTCATGAGGATGGTGTTGAGGATTTCCGCAGGGTGAGGCTTTCCCTGCCCAAATCGATTCTGCCATGAGACTCTAGCATCAGACTCTGGGAATACAGAGCCTAGCCACTATTCCTTACTTCTGCCCTGCCCTTTCCTCCGTGTTCCTGCCTTATAATGCTCCTCCCAGTCCCCCTCTTGACTTTTTGCATAAGTTACTACTCTTTTAATTGTATTGCCTTTATTCTTAGCATTTATGAAAATGTCATTTATGTGGCTAGATAGCTTCCTCACCCAGCTAGTAAAAATCCTTCCCTTACAGTTCTCCAGACACTGTACTTCCTTTCTTCTTTGTAATTCTTTTTTCCCTCCCCACAGCAACTTCATTGCCCGAAGACAGTTGTAGTGGAAACAGGGAAAAAGCAGAAAGCTCCAAAGAAAAGAAGAAAGAAAGATCCTAATGAACCTCAAAAACCAGTTTCGGCATATGCCTTATTTTTCCGTGATACACAGGCTGCCATCAAGGGACAGAATCCCAATGCCACTTTTGGGGAGGTCTCAAAAATTGTGGCCTCTATGTGGGACAGTCTTGGAGAAGAGCAGAAACAGGCAAGTAACTAGTGAACTAGTGGATAATATATATTGTAGCATTTGTTGATTAAAGTGATAACTCATTTTTTAACATTTTCTTACCTGCCCTTATTATTGTCAGCTCTTGTCTCTTTGTCTTAGAAGTTGCAACTGTTCGCTGAAATCAGAAAACCTTTAAACATATTAATAATTATAAAAACACTGACTCTTGACAATAACCTTGTAAAATAGCTAAGTTGCCACTTTTACTGAATGTGAAGACCAGGGCTGTGTCAGTACATTGCCTAGTTAAATCACTTAAGCGGTAGAGCTGAGACTCTACTCAGATTCTTTAATTCCAAGCCCCATGTGCTTTTCACTAATAATGTCTTATAATTCCTAATCATTTTTCAACTGTTTCATTTTTAGATATTTAACTTTTCTAAGCCTCATTTTTCCCATCGGTAAACTTAAGCTTATTTCTTGGTAAGTTACATGCTAAAGGTACTTGGCATACTCTTAACGTCCACACTACTTATATTGGGCTTTCTCACTGGTCCAATGTTAACTTAAAAACTGTGGTTAATCTCCCTTAGGCAATTTCCATCTGATAGGGCCTTTATTTCATGGGACTTTCCAGTTAATTGTCCTAGTAACATGTTTAGCGTCTCTGTATTACTTCCTAGTTTGAAGTACTAGGGTCTGGGGTCTTAAAAGCTTGAAAGTGTGGGTGAAGGGAGATGTTGGACAGTGTAAGACATAACAAAATAATAATTTATAAATTATCAAGGGTTTGTGAGGGAGGGGGAAAAATGAGGAGCTGATACCAAGGGCTCAAGTAGAAAGAAAATGCTTTGAGAATGATGGTGGCAACAAATGTACAAATGTGCTTGACACAAAGGATGTATACTTGGAATGTGATAAGAGTTGTACGAGCCCCCAATAAAATGATTTTTAAAAGAAAAAAATATATAAAATGAACTATTCCTTAAAAAACAAAAAACAAAATCAAGCCTTGAAAGTGGCAGTCCAAGGCACAACAATTGGTTTCTATTCGTCTAGAACAATATAGGAAGGCGAGTCAGGAATAGGAGGAGGGTGTGGCTTGTGTGCTAATTGCCTCCATGAACACCTGCCTTCTTTGCCACAAGACCAGAAGAACTGAATGTTGCCTGGCTACCATTACGGAATATTTTGATCCAAGATTCCACAGAAGAATCCTGAAATGCAGAATGGAATTTCACATTCTCATGAACTTTTCTTAGAGCCATGGAAGGTGGATGAACCTCTGAAACTGTTGCCCTGAGATCATCTTTAAACTTTCAACAACAAAAAAACTCTCAAAATCGCACAATGGTATAACTTGTTGGAAATGTCTGCTTTGAGCATAGTGTTCTTTAACAGTGGTGTCAAATGGACAAGAATAGCTCCAAAAATTAGATTGGTACCTTAGCTTGCTGTGAATTTATGTTAACTGGGAGAATTCAGAACAATTCAGAAATGAGGTTGGGGTTGGTTAACAAGTTGAAGAATCTAACTAGTGCCACTAAGTGACTCATGTAGAACTGTTGAATTTGTGTATGGTTGGCTGTATATATTCCTCAACAAAATCGATGAAATTTTATTTTAAAAGAAGCTTAATTTGAGTTAAATGAAATTGTGATGCTAGAGAGAGAGTTAAAGGAAAAAGATGGCTGTCAGTACCATTGCTCTAGACTCGCAGTTCCGGTGTCAGAATCTACTTTTTAATGTCTGAAATAAAAAGCTGAACTTATTTAATAAATTATATGTCACTGCTCAACATACCAGTCAAAATGTGAAGCTTTACAACAACAGCAATTTATTACTTCTCATGATTCTGAGAGTTGTTTGGGTGATTTTTCTACTGTTCCTGCTGTGTCGTCAAATGATGGTTGGTATTGCAGTCCAAGATAACCATCAGCTGGTGCTGCCTGTGGGCTGGGATGCTTTGGTTTTCCTTCTCATGGCCTTTCATCTTCTAAATTGACTACACTAGCTACTGTCCTTGTGGCAGACTTGGAGCAGCGTTCTGAGAAGGCAAAACAGATACTCCTAGTTCTCTTATGTCTTACTAGTGTGCGGCACTTCAGCCACATTGTAATGGTCCAGTAAGTGACAGAGCAAGCCCAGACCCAGTTTTTGATGGTAGGAAAGGCTTGCAGGACAGCCAGAATTGTTGTGACCATCTTTGCAAACAGTTTACCCCATTCTTTGAGAGTACACTGGTAAGGCATGGTCCTCTGGCCCAGCAAACTGCTGATCGTAAGTGTAGTTTGGGTCGGGCTTTGTTCGGTTTACAGAAGTGGGCATGGGTTGACAATAGAAGCTGCCTTGAAGTTTTCTTGGAGGGTGGTTATTCTGGCAATCTGTTGATTTGGCTGGCTTTCAGAAGAATACTGATCAGAATAATCGTTAGCTTTCAGAAGTAGTATATTCACTAAGAGGAGTTATTCATGCTTATTTGGCTGAAGTAAATTGTCATTTATTGATGGATGATATAGAGTTAACCATCTTTTCTGGGAGCATGAGGCTCTTTCAAATTGTCTGTACTTTCTCCAGGTTTATAAGCGGAAAACTGAGGCTGCCAAGAAAGAGTATCTGAAGGCTCTGGCTGCTTATAAAGACAGCCAAGAATGTCAGGTAGGACTTTGACTGTATTTGGATACTACTGTAGGGGAATATATTTACATCATTAGGAATTTTTTTCTGAACAGTGTTTTAGAAGTTACTAAATCCTGTGGAGCCTATTGGTACTACCGTGTTTCCCCGAAAGTAAGACATCCCCCGAAAATAAGACCTACTTACAGTTTTGCCTCTCGTTGAAATATAAGGCACCCCTCCCCCGAAAATAAGGCCACCCGAAGTTACCTTAACTATGGACTCTCAACCGTAGTGGCGGGTGCCGCCGTGCAGCTCACTGTTGGCCACAGCGCAGCTGGAGCAGACAGGAAGTGCGAGGTCTCTTTTAATAAAACAATAAACACGTACCGTATTCTTCTTCATGGAAAAATAAGATATCCCCTGAAAATACGGCCTAGCGCATCTTTGGGAACAAAAATTAATTTAAGAGACTGTCTTATTTTCGGGGAACCGGTATATAGTATAAACAAAGGCAGCATTGATGGCATAGTGGGTTACAAGTTGGACTGCTTACCCCAAGGTCAGCAGTTTGAAACCACCAGCTCCTTTGTAGGCGAAAGATCAGACATTCTACTTCTGTCACGATTTAGTCTCAGAAATCCACAGTTCTGCTCTGTCCTTTGGGGTCGTTATGAATTAGAATTGACTCGATAGCAGGGAGTTTTGAGTATTAAAACCTTAAAAATGTCTTAATAACTTTTCTGTTTTTCCCAGCATGTAAAACCTTGTCAAACAGTCTTCCTGAGTTTATTTGTAGTTTCTAGTGTTTACTTTGCTGGGGTACACCCCATTTGAAATCAGTCTGTATTCTCTTTCCTTGGGTCATGGTTAGAGTATGTCCTGGGTAGAGCATGAATCTCCCAATGACTTTTTTGTCTGCTTTTAGGCCACTGTGGAGACAGTCGAACTGGATCCAGTGCCACCAGCACAGACTCCCTCTCCACCTCCTATGGCTACCGTTGACCCAGCATCTCCAGCACCAGCCGCAACAGAGCCCCCTGCTCTGTCCCCTTCTATTGTCGTTAACTCCACTCTTTCGTCCTATGTTGCAAACCAGGCACCTTCGGGGCCAGGGGGCCAGCCTAATATCACCAAATTGATCATTACCAAACAAGTGTTGCCCTCTTCTATTACCATGTCTCAAGGAGGGATGGTTACTGTTATCCCAGCCACAGTGGTGACCTCCCGGGGGCTGCAGTTAGGCCAAACAAGTACAGCCACTATCCAGCCGAGCCAGCAAGCCCAGATTGTCACTCGGTCAGTGTTGCAGGCAGCAGCAGCTGCTGCTGCTTCTATGCAGCTGCCTCCACCCCGACTCCAGCCCCCTCCATTACAACAGATGCCTCAGCCCCCAGCTCAGCAGCAAGTGACCATTCTTCAACAGCCTCCCCCTCTCCAGGCCATGCAACAACCTCCACCTCAGAAAGTCCGAATCAATTTACAGCAGCAGCCACCTCCTCTGCAGATCAAGATTGTGCCTCAGCCCGCGCTGAAAATGCAAACTACCTTAGTTCCACCAACTGTGGAAAGTAGTCCCGAGCGGCCCATGAACAGTAGTCCTGAGGCCCCTACAGTAGAGGCCACTTCTCCTGAGACAATCTGTGAGATGATCACAGATGTAGTTCCTGAGGTGAGTTTTTGTTCTCAAATCTTTCCTCTCGATTGGTACACACGAGCGATTTTGGCTGGCCCAGTGAAAGAGGGATTACAACTAGCATTGACTCCATGGCACACTGGGAATCTGAAACATGAAGCTGCAGAAAGCAAAGTGCCCACAGCAGTGACTTTTCCTACTCAACTGCCCTCATTTAACAGGGGCCGCACCATAGTTTGACTCGAGAGGATTCAGACAAAACAGAGTGTTTCTTTTCAGAAGTTATCTGTCCAAGTACTCAGAAGCTTTGGTGACATGAACCCTTCCATTTCTCTGAGGTCTCGATTGCTTGGCTTGATTCAGTGAGGGGTAAATGCCCTCAACAGTAGTTGGTTCATGTGCCTTGTTTTAACTTGTGGTCATCTTAAAATAGAGGACTTGAGAGTGTAGCTCTGATAATTGAAACATTCACTTAAAGGAACTAAGTGTATCAAAAGGGAACTATTTCTAAGTTCTTCCTCACCCTGCCGCCCTTGGCCTTTTCCAGATAGTTGAGGGGACTCAACACTACTCATTTTACTCCATTCCTGCTTTGTGTAGGGACTATTCAAGTGTAGAACAGTCAGTTGTGGGTAGGATTTAAAGCAGCAGTAGCTTATGTCTAGAATCCCTAATAGAAAGATTCACCATGTCAATGTGCTTGTTAAAATTTTAGTTGGACTAGGAGAGGCCAAGATTTTCATTGCTGCCTGGGAGGAATTCTAACACAAGGTACTCCATTGAGTCTCAGGGTACATTTGACTGGCTGGCTAGGCAAAAAGCAATCTAATCCACACTTGGTACTCTCTTCCTCTCATAGGTCGAGTCTCCTTCTCAGATGGATGTTGAATTGGTGAACACATCTCCTGTAATACTCTCACCCCAGCCTCGATGTGTGAGGTCAGGGTGTGAGAACCCTCCTGTTGTGAGCAAGGACTGGGACAATGAGTACTGCAGCAATGAGTGTGTGGTGAAGCACTGCAGGTGAACTTTCGGTTCTTTTAAAAACAATCTTGGTATTGCTAAATCAGCTGTTGAGAAGCATGGTGACCTTGAGGTGTATAATCCCCATTGCATTAGGTGGAGTTGGTTGCTTCCCATATTCTATTGGAAAGGCTACTGGAAAAGCCCCTTCATAAGGGCCTATTATTCTCCACATAGCTAAAGATAATATAAGTTTACTCTTCAATAATCACATTGCCTCTGTTCCTTAAAAAGACATTAAGCTATTAGTATTAGCCCATCTCCCTAGTGCAAATCAGACCACTTAAGAGAAGTAGAATTTGTAGAAAAATGGATAAAGTGTTGGTAATATTTTGTTAACATATGGAAGGTTGCTTGCATATAGGAAACAAAATAGGATAATGTGCTAAATATTGGGGGAGTTCTGAGAATTTTGCTTGCCTTAGATCTTCCTGGGATTTACCTACATCCATGAAAGAAGAAGGCATTACTATTTATCACAAATTTTCTCCAGTAGATAGAACGGGGCTTTATCTTACTGCCTCTATTTTTGACATTTAGGACCATTTCCCAGTATTCCTATTGGGTGATACCATTTCAGTGCTGCACTATTTAAGACACAGTACGAAGGGGGTACACCCCAAAAAACACAGTTGCTCTGGGCAGAGCTTTCGTAGTTTGCATTTTACCACTAGGTGAGCATCGAGCAACTCCCTCTGAGTTCCTGCACCCAGTGGCATCACCTGGGAAGGTACTCTCTGGTCAGTGAATTTTTTCATAAAAGCAGTTTCCCTCGAACTTTGTTTTTTTGTGTTTGATCACCAATTCCAGAGAAGAGTATGCAGCTGTGAAATTTTGTTTCATGCTCAGGGAAAATGCCGCAGAAACTGTTGTGACGTTGAACACAACTTACAAGGACAGAGTTATGGGAAAAGCTTAAGTGTACAAGTGGTTTTTCTCATTTCAAAAATGGTGAGATGTCAATGACAAATCTCATTCAGGATGTCCGTTAACTTCCCGAACAACACGACTTGTAGTGCATTCGGACACCAGGTCAGACTGTTCATCGAGCTATTGAGGGTCTGAAAATGTTGCATAACAAGTGTGGTACAAAATAGGCCCGATTTGTGGCAGACGGGGACTGGTTTTGCCACCACAATGCACTGCTGAAGCCATTTTGGCAAACACCAGTATGCCTTTCTTGCCCAAAGCACTCTACTCACCTGACCTTGCTCAACCCTGCAACTTTTTGTTTCGGCAAATGAAGGACACGAAAGGCCAGTGATATGGCATTGTAGGAGAGGTGAAGAGAAAAAGGAGGTGCTGTCAGCCACCAAAACAGATGAGTGTGAAAAACGCTTCCAAGAATGGAGTTGCAGATTTGAGAGATGTATTACTGTATATACTCGTGTATAAGCTGAATTTTTCAGCACATTTGTAATGTAATGCAGTCTTTGTGGTAAAATTAGGTGCCTCCACTGATATTCAGGTCAGCTTATACTGGAGTACATATGGTAAGTGTAATGGAGAATACTTTGAAGGTGATAAGGTTTTGTTAAAAATTTTAAATACATAGCTTTGGGGGGCGGGGGGAGTTCTGGTTATGAGGAGGGGTAACCCCTCATATTATCTATGCTAGAATTATGTTTGTGTTTCTCTTTCTCTCTTAGGGATGTATTCTTGGCCTGGGTAGCTTCTAGAAATTCAAACACTGTGGTGTTTGTGAAGTAGTCATTTTTCTTCTCTAAACCACTGAAGACTTCTCTGCTGGGAATGTGTCCAAGAGCTTGTTTTTGAAATACAAGCTGGGCTGCTGGTCGTGCCTGATCTCAATCCATGAAGGCCCTTCCTGCTTCTCCCCTTCTCTCTGCAGTCAACAGGAGCCAGGCCATGGAGCAAGACCACTGGATTTGCTATCATCCGGAATTGCTTTTTACCCTCAAGTACAAGCAAAGACACCAGTGAGAATAGCACAGGACAGAGTAAATGGAATATGGATAAACGGAAAATACTAGTTGGTAGGGGTGGTGGTGGGTGGTGTTTGAGGAAATTTATTGGTATAATTGTCATAGGACTTACCTAAAAGATTATTAAAATGGAAGTATACTCAGCCTTGAGCCTAGGAAAGAACGCCATGGTGTGCATACAACGTAAAGGGAGTGAAAGGCTGCGTTCCAGTGTTAAAAATGGAACCACTTCTGTCATACGTACACATTAACTTCCAAAACACCAAACACACTAGGCTGTAAGGGAGATAACATCACCCAGAAGTTTTCTTATTTATTTCTTTTTACAAATGTTGTTTCTGTAGTTTTCCTTATCTGAGTTATCACAGCTTCTGTGTGTAAGAGGCAGAACCCTACATCCTTAAATTAATATAAGAGGTTTTACCAAAGTCTAAAGAAGTTGTGTTCACTTATATTTGCTGAAATATCTCATAAAGATAGGCCAGAGGTCTCTTCACCTACTATGAACTAACTCTGCACACCTTAGGTAATCTGACTAAAAGTGATTATTTCATTTTTTTCTGAGAAATAAACATTAAGAGACTTAACAAAAGTTACACAGGTGTAACAAAATAAGCAAGTGATTTAGAGCACTATAGTCCTAGAGTTATTACAATGCCAGTGGTAACCACCCTATAAGTGGAACTCAAGTTTTACCTTGAGAAATGCTATGTAGAGAACCCTTTCTTAGTATCAGTGTCACATAGTACTAGTAGTTCTTAGTTTTGATTCCGTATAGTCCTACCTTAATTACTAACATTCATCTGGAAACCTGAAAAGGACCCAAGGTTGAGATCGCTAATATTCCCATGTTACACGTAAGGAGGAGACATACATACTGAGAGATGAATTGCACAAGCTCAAACACTTAAGTGACAGCCAGATCTGATCCTGAAGTCCCGACTACATTATCAACTTTTATTTAAATAAGGAAAAAGCGCTATAGTACAGTAATATTACATTCCAGATGTAGCCTGTAAAGCCATGGCTGTGGAAGTGCTTCTATAAATTCTTAGGCTTAGAAATGATGCCATCTGGATATCGTTGCTTGAACCGGGCAACTACATCTGGGTCTAGCAAATGGATTCCATCTAGTTGGTTCCCAAGGGTGATCCTGAAACAAGAGGGGAGAAGAGGGAAACCAGAAATCCTAGAATTAAAAGACCTTAATATTGTTAAAGACTTTAACATAAATGCCAGTTAGGAATTGAGCAGGACCTGTTTCTACAATAAGCTGATCTATACTAACTGGGGGTTAGTAACTGTTGATTAGCAAGGTTTATGTCACAAAGCTATTGCTGTAGCTGCCAGTTTGGTGTTCTTTGAACAAGTGAAATGCTAGCTAGCCTGCATGTCAAAGGTGTTGCAGTTCTGGATGGATCGGACAGATTCTTAGTAACCACCAGGGGGCAGATTAGTGAGTCATAAGTTTTATCCTATAGAATCACAAAGGACTTCAGCCAATGGAGTATGGGAAACTCAATGCCTTTTGAGTTTCCAATGAATGGTAGGAAGTGGCCAAACAGCTTTAAATACATGTTTTAGATGTTTTAAAGATCCTGAGCCCAGCATAGGTCCCTAAAGCTTAGACTACTGCCCCCTTTTCAGAGGAGGAAAACCAGTCGCCACTGCTCCCCACCCCTAGCAATTAAAAACGTTTAATAGTGTAGCCCATAATCCAGGATAAAGTAAACGGTATCTGCTTTTATAGCCCCCTGATCATTCCAGCACCCCAGGGGGTGGTATCACCACACTGTGTAAGATAGAATGTGACTGGTAGTACCCTTACCAGTTGGGTTGCACATTGTGTGGTCGTCCAAATAACTCAATCTTGCGAGTACCGGGGGATAGTCTCTCAATCATGCCATAGATTTCATCTGGCTTATGACTGGTAGAACGAACCTAAGACACAGCCAACCACAGTTACAATTCCAGACTTGTTACGTTAGGAACCCCGATGAAGAATACATAGCTGACATCAATAACTGATAACATACTATGCGGAAGCTTTGGGTGTCTGGGGAAGCACGTACCTCAGCCACAATCACATCACAGTCCAGACCCTGGTTGAAGCCTTGGGGATTTCCTTTGACACCAACCTGCTCACCACAAAGAACAGGTTATTTTACGAAACCCAGCTTTGAACTTTTCCTTAATGAGAAATAATCCAATTCCTCTCTCTGCTCCACCATCTTGAGCTGGACCCCGATGCTGCTTACCAAGCAATGTTCCTTCCCGTGGTTCAGCCAGTGACCTGTACGGCCAGTCCGAATGATGCGCTGCAGTTGGTTTGTCTTCACCCAGATAATTTCATCTACCCGTTCATAACTGAGGTGGAAGGAAGGGAACTTAGAGCTTTCCCTAGGTCTTCCCAGTTTGGGGGTAGTACCAGCTACAGAGGCAAAGAATCATAGGGACCAACACACCAGAAGGGAATAATACATCCAATAACTACAGCAGGGTGTGTTTCCCCAAAACCCAAATGATTACTACTTACCCCCAGAGGTTCAAACATTCTCTGCCTAGCTCCATAGCCCTAGAAAGAGATAAGGGTTAATAATTACTTCCATACCCATGTTTTCCTCCCTCTAAAATATGTGATCAATGTAATAATTAGAAACATTTTGTCAGTAGATAGTCACAACTTTTACATGCAACATATCGTTAGGGAAACGGTACATCTAAGTACGAAAAGAATAAGACATAGTACCCATTGTCATTTACCTCATCTTTCGCATATTGTTAAATAATCTTATAAACAGAAGTTAAGTCTCAAAGGATAAAAAACAAACAAACCTGAATCAGCCATACATTTAATAGCAAGACCAGGAAAACACAGCATTTTATCTCCCACCCAATACTCATTCTGTACTACTACATCTGCCCAAACCTACATATTTTTTTTAATCGTTTTATTAGGGGCTCATACAACTCTTATCACAATCCATACATACATCAATTGTGTAAAGTGCATTTGTACATTCATTGCCCTCATCATTCTCAAAACATTTCCTCATTTTTCCCCTCCCTCCCTGCTCCCCCTTCCCTCATGAGCCCTTGATAATTTATAAATTATTTTGTCGTATCTTGCCCTATCCGACGTCTCCCTTCACCCACTTTTTTCAGGGAGGAGGTCACATATAGTTCCTTGTAATCAGTTCCCTCTTTCCAACCCACTCTCCCTCTATCCTCCCAGTATCGCCACTCACACCACTGGTCCTGTAGGGATCATCCGCCCTGGATTCCCTGTGTTTCCAGTTCCTGTCTGTACCAGTGTACCTCCTCTGGTCTAGCCAGACTTGCAAAGTAGAATTCATATGACAGTGGGGGCGTTTAGGAACTAGAGGAAAGTTGTATTTCTCATTGTTGCTACATCGCACCCTGACTGGCTCGTCTCTTCCCCGAGACCCCTCTGCAAGGGGATCTCCAGTGGCCTAATGGGCTTTGGGTCTCCACTCCGCACTCAAACCTACATATTTTTAAGTGCATTACCTGCCTGTGACCCAGAGGAAGAGAAAGCCATCATCCTGCAGTACTGGAATGTTGAGCCTGCGCATCTCATCGTCCGTCAGGGTTCCATAGGGGAGCTCCATGTGAATATCCCAGGGGGGGTCAGCCATGACAACAGCGAACTTGCCCAGGATGCTGACGTCCAGGTAGCGGATGTCACAACAGATCCACTGCAGGAGGTGGGGATTGGTCATCTTCCCTCTCATTGTCAGGTTCATGACCCCAGACCCTTAGAAACATTTCCCACTCCATTTCCAGTCAGCAGGATGGGTTGCTTTCCCACACATTTGGCTGCCCCACTGGGTCCTAAGTCTAGAAGCAGATATATAGGTACCTGAGGCGGGAAGAGCCGATCTACACTGGCGTCGCCTCCAACACTCTGTGTAAGAGCAAGCTCCTGGCTCGGTGGATGGTCTCTGCTGCCAGGGGCCTCAGAGTCCATGCAGGCATCAATTTCATAGTGAACATACTTGCAGGTGTCCATGTGGAAACACGTGTTCAGGAAAGAGCAGTCACCTAAGGACTCATCCGTGTGTTTATTGATGATCCGTCTGGGGGGATACAGAGCAAGAATAGGGGGGGGGATCACATTCTGGATTTAGAACACAGTCACTCAAGTTCCAAATTTTCCTCTCCCACTTCCCCCCTCATCCTATTTCTTTCTATTAGAGTTTCCTGCAAGAATGTTGAGAGGCGGGTGACACAGAAATCCGTAATTATTAGAAAAGACTAATTACTGAGCAGAGACTTAGCTTCCAATTATTAGAAAAGACTAATTACTGAGCAGAGACTTAGCTTCCTTGAAAGCAGTAGTAGATTTACTGTCTAGAGCAGAGTAAATCTCTGGGTGGGGTCTAGTTCTAAGACCATATTCTTTTCAGAGAACCCTTGCAGTGGGGCTCAGAGCTGGTGATGCTTTGCTGCTGCAAGACATTCTGGTGGTATACCTTAAAAGCTCACATCTGGCAGGCAGTCTATATTTCCCACAAAACACCACACCACTTCTGACAGTATATACCTTCTGAGTCTAGAGGGCTTACATATCCAAAAAACGAAATAAGGGATTCAAGACAGACACCCAAAAGACTGGAAGGAGTGTGCTGAAATGGAAGGACTGCTTGTAGGAGGCTGATCACACCTCTTTCCCTCCCAAGAGACCTGAAGTGCAGCTTGCGGCACGGCCGGTCGGCGTCACTGGCTTTCATGCATTCCTCCTTGGTGCCGTAGTCGCAGAACTCTTGCACTTGGGCCCGACCTCGAGAGCGGAACTTTTCAACAATAGATTGTTCCTTGGCTGTAGTAGTATTTAACAGTTCTAGGATCTCCTGGCTGACCTGTAACAGAAGCAGCTTTGGCCTTGAAGGTGCTTGTAGGTCTAATTAGTTCATACACGACACTAATGTCCTATAAAATTCAACTCCCCCCGCCCCCCACGACCAGAAAAACACAAACTAACAAAAAACCACCCCAAACTCACTGAATGCTGACTCTCAGCCCCTGTGCATTTCTGAGATCGTAACTGTTTGTGGGAGTAGAAAGCCCCATCTTTCTCCCGCCAGTGGAGCTGCTGGTGGTTTCAGACTGCCAACCCTGGGAATACTCGCAGTCAACCGTGCACCCACTGTACCACCAAGGCTCCTCAAAGGGGCAGATAAACTAACAATATGGGAAACGAGCCCCGGAAAAAAAGACTCATCACAGGGTCAGTCCTTCCTCATTTGGGAGAGAAGTAAAACACACGAGGCCTTGCCTCCCACTCTGGAGCCCTGGTGGTGCAGGGAGTGAGGGGCTAGGCTGCTAGCAGGAAGGTTACAGGTCTGCGCCCACAGCTGCTCCAGGGGAGAAGGATGAGACCGTCTGGAGTCTTACTGTCCCAGAGAGCTGCTAGGAATTGGAAATGACTCAACCACATTGGATTCCAGATGTTCCTACTGTTAAGCATTAACCCCCAACTTCCCAGGACAGCAGTCCTTCCATTAAGAATCTAAACGATTGGGTCTTGATTCCGGGTGCTAAAGATTTTATTGTCTGACTGAGCCTGCATCTATAAGGGAAAGTACGCTGGTTATCCTCATTTTATAAACAAGACATGAGAATCGAGAAGTTAAATTCACCTAAGTAGCAGAAGGATGTTGTTCCCCTGTCTATACTCAGAATAACTATCCTGCTAAATCACTTTGTTTAATCAACAGTTTCTATAATTATTGATCCAGCACTATCTTCCAGTATTTATCTCCCTCTATGAAAGGTCTTTTAAAACGTTCATGCAAAAAATTCATTCAAATTCTCCATGAATTTTAAAATCTCCTTTATATTTCTATATTTGGCTTACCTTGAATATGGACTCTTCTGAACAGATTCAATGGCAAAGATTCCCTAAACCTGGGTTTCTCAAATTTGGCATTAATGGCATTCTGGGCTAGAAAGTCTTTTGTTGGTGGTGGGCAGGAGTCCTGTGTCTTATAGGAAGTTTAGGAGCATTCCCGTCTCTATCCACTAGTTAACAGGAGCCACCCCAAGTTGATAACCAAATCTCCAGACAACAGCAAATGTCCTTGGGGTGTTAAGGCACCCCACCGACTGCTCTATGCCTTCAAGTTAAGGACTGCTCTTTGCTTAGAGGTAACCCCTTTGGAAGCTATCGTTCAGAGCATATGCATGAACCTTGGGGCACTTTTCATTCTGACACCTACCTTTTTGCTCTGTTGTTCCTTAGTTGACTGTTGGTTCAGAAGGCTTTCTATCTCCAGATCAACATCAGAGGCTGCATGTTTTCTTGATTTCTTGGCCGGCTCCTTGGCTGGTTCTGATGCTGAAGAGGCCAGACCAGAAGCCAATGAGCTGGCAAAAGCAGCTACAGCGGTCGAGTCCTGCTCTGCACGCCGCTTCTGTCCTGAAATGGTTCCTGCTACCTCCCCGGAACCCTTCTTCTCTGCCACAGCAACCATCATGGCAGAGAGCTTGGAGTGGTCAGCGTAGGTCACAAGAGTAGGGTGCGCGTCATCTTGTAGGAGGCCCCGCTTTACCTCAATCAACTCCTGAGCGGCAAACTTCTGGAGAAGGCTTTCCACCCCAGCTTGAGTGGCAGGGGCATCTGGCTGGGGAAGGAGGGGATGGAAATAAGACACTGACCATGAACTGAAGAAATGGTAGACACCAACCTTCTGTACAAAGTCATTACCGTGGAGATGGCAAGACAGATGGACACAGCATCAGTGGGTAATGTTAGGGTCAGATCAGAGAGGTGGTGTAACAACTTCGTCTCTAACTCAGGATCTGTAGCTAGTTCAGGAACAGCTGAAACTGTGCTGGGCTTAGGGCCACCAGAGGTAGCTATAGTAGGCACTGGGCTGTCACTACGAAAGGTTGGGGACAGTGCTGACTCCGGATTCCGTAGATCTAGGAATGAGGGGAACAAGAGAAAATGACAAAGGCAATCCATGTCAATATATTCCCCAGGAACCAAAATTTTAACCCTTGTTAGCACATCGTAGCATGCAAGGAAATGCTCTGACCAATGTCAGCACTACATTATCTTTACTCAGTCATACTCTAGCATTTGTTGCTTTGCCAAAAGAACCCCGGACGTTCTAGGAAGTACCCATTCTTTCTCTACTGGTTAAGAGATGTCTTCCTAATTCCATGTCTTTGCTGTGTTTTAAAGGAAATAAAGTAATAACACGGGAGATTTAAATCCCCCCAGTAGCACCTTTCATTTACTCTGATAGGACAATGGATATAATCAACCTGCGTTTCAATAAAAACCAGAAATATTTTCAACAACAACTTCTGCTATGAGGTTCAAATGTTAGCGATTTAAGACCACTGACCTTCAGGGGATATGTAAAATGACAGTGCTGTGTGACCTTTAACACTCACAAAAATCTTAGCGCGCATTGCTGAGGCCCCCAGCACCAAGCGAAGTTTCTCACCTACTCTCTTGGGTCACAAGCTAGGTAGACAATCTCAAGAGTCAAATGAAGGTATTACCTTTGGGAAAGCCTAATATCTCTGCGTGGCTAGTTAAATATAGATGAAATATGAAGATAAATTCATAGGACTTGGAATTCTGTTAAACCAAGTATTACATAGTAGGTCAGTAGTTTACACTTATAAATGTTTTGAATAGTTAGAAATTTCTAATCCAATGGCACTGAATCTATTAAATTTGACTGGAAGGTCCCAAAATACACCAAATACTGGTATATTTTATGAAAATAAGTTAAAGCACCCTTTTAGGAAAATAGACTTCTTAGTTCGGTTAACATTAACTGGAAACCCATGTACATTTTTAAATGGTGCATTTCAGACATTAACTAAACCTGTCAAAAGGCGTAACAGATCATTTATTTACGTTCTAGAACTAGGATTCTGACAATAGAACATGGAATGGGAGGAAAGGATGATGTGTCTGCATTTTAAATCAGCATTCAGTAAGTGGAGTCCCTTAGCTTGTTGGGCAGCTTTTGAGATTTTAATAATATCCTCGGCATAAATACATAAATTATGCATTTCCCCTCAATTTATACTCTATACTCAACACCTCGCATGGAGCAGTCTTCCAACGGCAGTGGTTTTGTTAAAAGGCCTGCACCTGACCTGACACACAAGGAGGAGCTTGGCAAACACATCTCGTGACATGGACAAACTGGAGGGAATTATGCTCAGCAAGTTAGTCAACTCATGAAGATAATTATTTTATGACACCATTACTATAAAGTGGGGAAAAGTGGTTTTCATACGAAAGGAAGAGACTTTTAAGACTGCAATGAGGCCGGGACTGGAGGGAGGGTGAGAGGGAAAAGGGAAGGTGGGTGGGAAAAAGAAAATAGAACTGCATATACACGGGCGTTTCAGGGACACGATCACTGTTTTGACGAGACGGGCTGCACAACTATACATATTACATTTTTCTTCGTGCTGTAGTCTATAAATAAAAGGGAAAATAATAATTAAAATAAATTTAAAATAATAGAAGGGCCACAGCCTTAAAAAAACCCTCTAATTTACCTATCACACCTAAACACTGGTCTGAGTGGTTATAAAAATAGAAAAGTCGCCCCCACTACCATGATCCCAATTCTACCTTACAGATCCGGCTAGACCAGAGGATGTACACTGGTACAGATAGGAACCGGAAACACAGGGAATCCAGGACAGATGATCCCTTCAGGACCAGTGGTGAGAGTGGCGATACCTGGTGGGAAGGTTGGGTAGAAAGGGAGAACCGATTACAAGGATCTACATATAACCTCCTCCCTGGGGGATGGACAACAGAAAAGTGGGTGAAGGGAGACATCGGACAGTGTAAGATATGACAAAATAATAATTTATAAATTATCAAGGGTTCATGAGGGAGGGGGAAGCAAGGAGGGAGGGGGGAAATGGGGAGCTGATACCAAGGGCCCAAGCAGAAAGCAAATGTTTTAATGTACAAATGTGCTTGACACAATGGCTGTATGTATGGATTGTGATAAGAGTGGTATGAACCCCCAATAAAATGATTTTTTTTAAAAATAGGAAAAGTAAAATTCAACCAAATCAAACTCACTGCTAGGGAGTCGATGCCACAGCCACCCTACAAGACAGGCTAGAACTGCCCCGTGAAGTTTCCAAGATTGTAACTGTTTCTGGGAGTAGAAAGTCTTGTCTTTCTCCCATGGAGCGGCTGGTGGTTTCGAACTGAAGACCTGTCAGATTGCAGCCCAACTCATAACCACTAGGCCACCAGGGCTCCTTATAAAATTGAAAGTAATTATTTAAATTCTTTTGTGGCACGTAAGCCAGTTTCACAATATTTTCTTAAAAACCCTAAAGCTCAAAGAAGTATAACATTTGGAATAATCAAAATAACGAACGAAAAGGACAGTCACAGGCTGTCTGCAGGTGCCTCCTCTCTGCCCACTTCCACAGTACTGAATGACGGTTCCAAAGCTCTAGGTCAGAAGACACTGTATCTATAATGGCAACCTTAAAAATATTTTTACAGGAGTCATAACCATTATTAGGTAGATGTGCAGGCAACAGATACTATATTCGAGAAATATTTACATCCAAGGGAGAGTAGAGTCTGGTCAACATTACTAAATATACTTACACACCTGGAAGAAAGACTCAACATTGTATCATCCCTAAAATGGGTTACTCCTCAGAAAAGGATTAAGAATCACTGGTGCCATTCTTTCAGAAAGTATCCACAGCATATTGACCAAGTGTTCTCTTATGCAAGCACCTATATTGGTACTATTTTTTATCTAACCTGAGAGTATCGAGAATCTAGTAGTTCGATGGGCATACGGCTCACTGGCTCACTAACAACAAAACGTTACTGCCACTGAGTTAATTCTGACTCAGCGACCATCCAGGGCAGGGTAGAGCTGCAATTCTCCCAAAGTGGATTGCAGTGAGCAGCCCAAGGCATAACCCACCACTCCACCAGCACTCTATATACAGCTCAGAGGCGGCTAATTCCAAAGTGTGATGAGCGCCATGGGAAAGTTCATGGGACTTAAGTGACCAAGAGCAATTAGCATCATCCACCTAAAGTGTATGAATTTAGAAGCAGACAAACAGAAAACGTACTACAAGGAATAATAATAACCAGAAACTACAGACTAAAGATAGATTGTTCCCAAAGAAAAGAGACTAAGCTGAACACCAAGTCGTAAATGATGCAGTGCACTGATAATATGGTTTTCTAAAATAAACACTTTGATTACTTTGTTGATGCAAATAATAACTTGAATCCTCAGTGCCCCCCACCCCCTGCCCTTTCAGTTGTCACTAGGAACAGGAAAAACAAATTATTCCATGCTAAAATTAAATATTCCTAGAAATGCACTTATTTAGGCTGTCACATTTCAATACACTGCAAAACAGATTCAGGGGACTAAAAAACAGTGATGTGTTCTCATCTGGAAGCTGAAGGAGAGTAACAGAAAAAGACTACATTATTTCTAACTGAAAGGGATCCATTGAAAACTCAATCACCTACAAAATGTCGAAATGCAGTAATTGGTGGTTACTAGTTCTGAAAGAAGGAAACCATGGGTCCTTCTCTTCCGCTGTGTGACTGAACTATGGTACACACTCTCTGGAGCTGCAAGTTTAGCTGAAGGGATTTCAAAGACATTTCCCTTAGTTAAGCACACCAACAAGCAAGCAAAACACGCCCACACCGAACACAGCACAGGTGGGGACCATGAAGCGGGAGTACCAGGGCATAAAGAGTGTGAGCATGGGTGATTTCCAGTACAGGTGATGTCCCAGTGGTTTAGTGCTGCTATCACAAACACCACAGGCGTGTACCTCTCATGAGCAAAAATCTATTTTCTCACTGTTTAGGAGATGAGAAGTCAGGGTATAGGCTCTAGGGCAGCAGTTCTCAAACTGTGGGTCACGACCCCTTTGGGAGTCAAACAACCCTTTCACAGGGGTCGTCTGATTCATAACAGTAGCAAAATGACAGTTATGAAGTAGCAACAAAAATAATGTCATGGTTGGGGGTTACCACATGAGGACCTGTATGAAAGGGTCGCGAAATAGGAAGGTTGAGAACTGCTGCCCTGGGGAAAGTTTTCTGTCAGCTCTAGGGAAGGTTTTTGTCTCCTCAGAGAAATTCCTTGGCTCCAAGGGGATTTTCATATGGCATTAATCTTCTGCCCCTCTATGGAAGAATCCTGATCAAAAGGGGGGAGGGGAATGCAGAACACAATTTTAAGTTCTTATGGAATTTAGATTTCCAGGAACCAATGAAGCTGGATGAACTCTGGAAACCACTGCCCGGAGAACACCTCTACACTGAGCAACCATAAAGCTCACTCAAGCCATCTTAGAGCCATGGCCTGTCTTTCTTTACAGGGTTGGATCGGCAGGGCAGCTCAAAGACTAGATGGGAAACGGAGAGGACAGGGAGGAGGGACACTCGGGAAACGGGTGAGAGTGGATGCGCCACACCAAGAGTTGTGTAATCGATGTTGCCGAATTGCACATGTTCTGCTGGATATATTCCCAACAACAATACAAATCATAAAACTGGAAACGCACAAAGGAGGAGGTGATGGGAAGGCTGAGGCAGAGACTGGAGTTAAGCAGCCGAAACTAAGAACGAATGCCCAGAGCCAATGGGCGCCAGATACTGACGGAAGCCGGGAAGGACCCTTTCCTAGGGTCTGCAGACAAAGCACACCACTGCGGCACTTTCACTCACAACTTGGACCTCCAGAACTGTGAAAGAGTAAGTTGCTGTAAAAGGAAAAAAAAAAAAAAGTAAGGTGATTGAATCTTCTATTATACAGATGAGAGGGAGAGTCATATTTCATATCTAAAATTGAAGTGCGTAAAACAAACAGCACTGAGCTGCTGTTAAGGGTGATGGGAAAATTCTGAAATGGTAACACTTAAACAACATAATATACAGGGGGTGTGTGTGTGTGTAGGGGGGTGCTTCGAAGAATTCACAGAAAAATTCCATTGTCTTTTAATTCCATTTTTCCCCCAGAAACTTTTACAATGTCAGTGAAAAATTACCTATGAAGACTGCTGAAATGGCAAATGTTTTGTTATCTATATATTTACACACATACACCTCACACCCAAACCAGGAACAAGAACAAAAGGTTTTAGTGCACGTGCCACTGATGCAAGGAAAACTAGACCTACAAGTCAAAGGAGTTAAATGTACAGATCAAGAAAATAAATCCTGCTCTTGACTAGTACCTTCTCTTGATCATATGACTGCACGCCTGCCTCTCCCGACCCCCTCCTCCCTCTTACAGTCTCTTTAATTAGCTCAGTCCTCACAGTCCTCTAGTCTTCAAGAGGAGCCCTGGTAGCACAGATTGAGTCAGGCTGCTAACCACAAGGTCAACAGTTTGAAACCACCAACCATTCGCAGGAGGAAGATGAAGCTTTCTGCTCCTGTAAAGAATTACAGCCTCAGAAACCCACCAAGGCAGTTCTTCTGTCCTACAGGGTCACTAAGAATTGGAATCAGCTCAATGGCAGTGAGATGTCTGTTGTGTTTTTTTTTAAGTATCGCCTTCAAAAGGAGCCCTAGCCCCTCAATGCAAGAACACTTTTCTATCAATGCAATAACACTTTTCTATTAAATTGGCATTCTACGATGCTCACCTTCCCGACACAACCGCTGAAGACAAAGCGGGTGAATAAACAAATGTGGTGAAGAAAGCTGATGGTGCCCGGCTATCAAAAGATATAGCGTCTGGGGTCTTAAAAGCTTGAAGGTA